GTTTTCCTCCTCGGAACCCGATCTTTAAGCTATTACGAAAATAAAAAACTGTGTACTCTGTTTAATTGACCTATAAAATATTAAGCACCAGTGCCTCTATCTATGTGCCACTATACAGGGTTTGTCCGGAAAGTAATAGGATTGAGTAGATTTAAAAAATGTATTGAGCCAATCGTTACAATTCCTTAAAAACTTTCAAAATAGGCTCGTCGATGCAGCGCTACCAGCGCGATTTCCAAGCAGTGAAGCCGTCACGGAAGGCATTCTCCGGAATAGCCTTAAGAGCCGCGGTGCATGCTGCTTGGATCTCCTCTGTCGTCTCAAATGCTTGCCTTTCATCGGTCTTTTCAGGCGAGCAAACAGAAAATGTCCGGGGGGGCTACATCTGGACTGTAGGGCGGCTGCGGGAGCATTGGGATGGAAGAAAGGCGGTGTGAGCCGGGGCGTTGTCGTAGTGCAATTTCCAGTCGGCTGCGATGTCTTGTCGGACCCGATTGACCCTTCGTTTGAGTCTCTTGAGCACTTCCACGTAAAACTTGACGTTGACGGATTGTCCAGGAGGAACAAATTCATGGTGGACGATGCCTTTCATGTCAAAAAAGACAATGAGCATCGTTTTCACTTTGGATTTGCTCATTCTTCCCTTTTTTAGGCGAGGAGACGCCGGCTTGTGCCACTCGGAAGATTGCCCCTTTGTCTCGGGATCATACTCAAAGATCCATGACTCGTCATCTGTGATTACGTTATTCAAAAATTGGGGATCACTTTCACACATGTTTAAATTTAATCGTGTACCTCTGCTCTAACGAACGCTGCATTTTCGGCTTGCACCACTCACAGAAACACATCGCGCGAAAAAGCCTGTTCTGACTCTCCAGGTGCTCGGAGACAACTCACCAGCCGCTCGTTCGTTAGCTTGGAATGCCCTCTACCGAATCCAGTCGGTGCGCGCACTCTCCGAAGTACAGTCGCGGTGGAAGGAAATCAGTCCTATTACTTTTCGGACAAACCCTGTAATATTTAATTTCATACCTAAAATCCAATCGATTTAATATATCTCACTCTTTATAAACCAAATAAAAAATGTTACATATGAGTTTCACTATATTTTTTATTAATTTATTATCTTCAACAACAACACTGTGACCTTTGAGAAGCTACAAGAAATTTAAACGATATAAATACATACATACATCACTTCGTTACTTTATAGGAAAATCATAATTTTTATTATTAGTAACTTTTTGTTGTTCTAATAGATAGTTAATTCAAGATTATTATTTTCAACGTGGAATATTTTAAAATATATTTAATTTCATTTAAACGTACGTATACTTATTACGGTCGAATTTCTGTGACTCGAACTTCTACAAAGTGAACTCGCAATTTCTTTTATTCCCTTACAACATAAAATACATATTGCTTTCTACTTATTCCAAACACTTTAACTCAAATTTCTCCATTTCTCCACCTTGGAATTCGAGTGTGAATTTTGTCTCTTTAATAACAATTTTTATTGACATTTTTCTAACACACTTTTAAAATGAATATGTCACTTTTCTTTACTGAATATTCTACTGACATCTACCCCCTTCTTATATGAAATTCTATGACATTGTTAGTTAATAATAGTGGATTAATATGCAATATTAATTTGAAATCATTTTTTCGATTTAAATTTTACCCACTACAAACTACCTCAAATTAATGAGGGTGGGGGTGTGACAACAGCAACAATTTTTCCCTCATTAATTTGAGGTAGTTTGTAGTGAGTAAAATTTAAATCGAAAAAATGATTTCAAATTAATATTACCCCCTTATTAGCCATAATGAATTTATCAGCCCATCACCATATTCCTTACTTTTTTTATTCTGTTCCCGATATTCCCATCTTTTTCTTCTAAATTCTTTCTTTTCATAATCATTCTTTCTCCACCTTCTCAATATTCCTTTATATTCATTCTTTTTCCTTAAACACCCACCATTCTACCGTTTTTCATTATTCTTCCCTTTTCTTAATGCTTCCTTTATCATTCTTTCATTAACACTTTCTTTTTAGATATATTTTACTCTATTTATCTTCCCGATGACAGTAAAAACTCGCCATTTTTATTCTTCCTTTTTTTGAAACCACCCTGAATAATACCATATGATGTTTCCAAGTTAAAATCTCCTAGCTGTTGATTTTAAATCGTACATAGCACACTCTTAAACCTTGAAATTACCATTGTTACAATAACACACACATCTACAAAAAAAATAGAATATAAAAATAAGCCTGTAGGTAATTTAAGAAACCATTTACAACAGTAAAACATTATTCCATTGGTCAATTAGTATCTGTATTTTTTTTTAATATTAATTAGTGCGTAAGTTTCCATAAAAACAAGAACATAATAAAGGTTGTCATTCTCAATGCCTCTCTTATAATACTATCTGAGGTTGTGGTACCCACAATATACATACGAAGCAAGTCATAAATATAATTTAAATGCCATGCATTTTAAAATTGTTCCTTATTTGGTTTTTTAATAATTGTTGTAAGTTGACAAATGATTTTATACTCAATAACAGATGGAACTCGAATGGATGTGAGAAATTATTCAGTTTTATTTGTTTAATAAATAAACCAGTTTTCATAAAAACGTGTTGTTTTACAAATTCCAATATTTTTGATTTTCTTTTTTTTTTTGAAGGAAGGTGTTAGTGTTATTATTTTAAACAGGCAACAAATTATAGAATTATAGACAGAGTGAATTAGAAAAAACACCCTAAGTCATAATTCCTTTACTTTTAAAGATAGTATATTCCTTAGGTCAAAGTTGCATAGTTGATTGTCATCTATGTTTTGGGATTAATTAATGTTGCTTCCAGTTTCAACTGAAATGACATCTCCTTTAGTTTTTTAAATGGAACACCCTATATATTTTATTATTTTTTAATACCTTGTTAAATTGTCTTTTTGTCTTTCGAAAAGCTCAACAGTATCATTTACCTAAAACCAATGGTTAGTGAGGTATTGGTCAGTTAGGTAATGTAATGTAGTCACCATGCATTTGTCTAATAGAAATTATCTGCTAGTATTTCTATCCTGTTTGATATTATTAATAATTGATAACAGTGTGTTAACAGACATGATTTGGGATTTATCTTCTCGGAATCCACTCAATATAAAGACGTAGTCTTCTCACATTATTCATATTTCATTAAAAATATGCTTGAATTATGCCTGATCATAGTTTCAACCATAATGCAGAGGTCTTTAATGAGAAACCAAACTGAGACAAGTTCCTGAAAGAAGGCAGCAACTCTTTCAATATTCAGAGTGATCACAGAGATCTGTATAGCACTCTGATGCCTGTGATATGGAAGACAATCGGAAAGCGCTACATTATGATATCCTGAGTACAACTCATTAGACGTTTGTGGTGTGGTATTATATGAGGAAACTGGAAACCTGGAAACTGTTGGAGAATAGAGGAAGTTATGAAAATCAATAAGGAATAGATGAGATAGATTGGTGGAGCGCCTTCTCAGAAACGAAGGGCTAGTTAGAGACATATTAGAAGCAGAAACAGGAGTTAATAGGAGTAGAGGTAGACCTAGATTAGATTACTGTTCACAAATAGTTAAGGATGTGGGATGTTCTAGTTTTAAAGAAATGCAAAGATTAGCTCAGCTTAGGAAAGAGTGGAGATGCTTGTCCAAACAGTCTTAGGGCTGACGACCTCATGATGATGAACATCCCTTCAATTATTACTTATTAAGCTTGGAATGTCAACCCGCAACATAATATTATCGTTACACATATAAGCAAAAATAAAACAAATCAAGTAGTTAAATAGAATTCATCATTAAGAAAGACAATAACTTGAAGTGTTGATTTTTAAATCATATAATAACGTTTAGAATAAACGGGCATTTTTTTCCGGAGCCTTTTTCTCCTAGGGGATTTGTTTTCCTTGATTCTGCGGTAGGAGTAGGTGTTCTCTTGATTAGTTAATTTTCTGCTAATAATGGAAAAATTAATATTTTAGATTATCTGAAATTAACATCACATTACTATTGTATAAATTTTTAAAATGTGTAAGCAAAATTGGTGCCTTTTAATAAGAATAATTACATGTTATTATACGTATACGAATGATAATTGTATAAACAAAAAAAACTGCTACTTTCTTTGATAAAGATTTCTTTTATTGTGGTTTAATATTTATTTCAATAATTAATACTTCAAGCAATATGTAAAATGTAAAGGGTACGTGCTCTCTATAATAAACATTTCAAAGCAATTTTCCAGGCCGAATTTGCATTTTGACTTAATGAATTCATCTATCATTCAGATGTTAGCACAACATACAAAATATGACGTTTTATTACTTATTTTAAAATTACTTTTTTATGAAGTAAATATATCCATGATTATTCTTTTATAATTCTTGTTTTCTAAAATCTAATTTTTTTGCTAAACATTTTAATCTTACAATTTCTGACGAAAACTCTTTTTAAAAATTGCCTAATTCAAAATTAATTTGTATGTAGATATATCATAGTTCCTTGAAACAATAAGATTTCGTTTCCTATTTGTGCAAGCCAAAATTCCAAAATTACTATTACACCTTGTTTACAGAAAAATGCCATTAGCAAGTACATTAACTAATTGATACTACATTATAATTAAATAATCATTGCGACCTGAGGTTTGTGACTAAGTTCATTAATTAGTTTTTGCTTAATGAATCATAAATAAGTAATAAATATATATTTTATTTCTCACAAAATATTACGCCAGTAAACAAAGTCAATAGAAGGACGCAAATAATAAAAATAATGTAATTATTTGTTTATTATATATTTTTTATATATGTATACGTGTATGAAGAGCGTCTGTGACAAACCTGTTGTTGAAACGCCTACTTACATATAATTTAGTGTGTGACGTAAAAAGTGCGGTAGCTTCCAAATACAAGAAATTCATATATAAATAGGCGGCTGTGTTACAATTTAAATCAGAGTTTCGAAGACGCACAAGTGATCTAAAGAAGCAAGATGTCAAAAATCGCAACCGTTTGTCTTTTGGCTGTTTTCGTGGTAGTCGTATCGTCTGTACCACAGAATGGAAAATACACCATCAAGTACGACAATGTCGACTTGGATCAAATCCTCAGCAACCAAAGGCTACTCGAAAATTACTACAACTGCCTTATGGACAAAGGAAAGTGTACTCCCGATGGACAAGAACTGAAAAGTAAGTTCCAAAAATTTATTTTTCTAATATTTGGAAAATGTTACTAAAATCTATTGATGTTTTATTTGTAACTATTTATATTGAAGCGGTTAAATCTTATTTAGTCATATAACTTTTTTAAATATTTAAAGTAGCATTTTTTCCTGCTTGGTCAATTGTGGATTTTTAAAAGCATTTTGGAATAATGTGGCATTAAAAAGCTTTCAAAATTGTTAATCCTTGTATGAATTCGTGACAATTAAGGCTTTACTTGGAGCTAATCTTTACACAACTACTTATAAGTAACTAACACAAAAGTTACTAAATTGTATTTGAAGCACAATTTGGTAATTGTTGTGATGAATTCTTATAAAGTTTAGTTAAATAATAAACGTCATTTTCTGTATTGCTCTTTATGACATTTGCATTCAGTTTTCAAGTTTTCTTTGTTAAAATGTTCTAAATAACATCATCTCGGTACCCGTTTCAATAGATGTACATTTAAAGTTGAATCATCATTCTTTTAGAAAATCTTCCTGATGCCTTGAACACCAAGTGCTCCAAATGTAGCGAAAAACAAAAGGAAGGAACCCACAAAGTTGTTGAATATTTGATCAAGAACAAAAACGATTGGTGGAAGAATTTGGAAAGTAAATACGATCCCAGTGGCAACTACCGAAGAGACTATGGACCTGAACTAGCCCAAAGAGGCATCAAAATCTAAACGTTCCTATGAAAAAGTTGTTACCTACTAATAATGTATTGTCAAAAAAGTCATGTTTATTGTTTCATTGGTAAACTTAATTGAAATTGTGCAATAAAGCTTTTTAAAGATTGATAAAAATACTTGCTTTTTAGTTAGATAAGTGCAATACATGTTACCTACTCAGACCTAATTCTAAACTTAATAGGAAATGCCAAAATTTTAATCCAGAACAGGATTTTCAGACATCATCGAAAACAAAGACTTCCGGCAAAAATTGACAACTGTGAATCTAATGCAGCGAGCTTTGACATAAATATGTTTTATAGAAAAAAATTTTTAAGTGTTTAATTATACAATTACAAACTTTCTACGAGATAAACTCAAAATGGTTGTACAACCTGTTAGACAAAAAGAATATTACAAGTGAAAATACTGAAAAATTATTGATTCTGCTGTATCCACCTAATCACATGCCTAAATTCTAACCGCTTTTTATGCAATTAGAGATATTATTTAATAGATACTCTTCTACGCAAAGCATCTTGATGTTAGCTGCGAAGTATGAAATAGCTGTTGGGGAAGCTTCTCGTGTTTGTCAGGTAATACTTACAGCGAGCTTTTCGGTGGTTTAAGTTTACTTAAAATAGTTAAAAGTTCAAATAGGTCCATCATTAAAGAGGAGAGACTTGATGCTCTCAGTATAATAAAAAGCGAAAAAGACCTTTATTCTGCTCTTGATTTTAACAATATGATGACCTTATGGACGAAACTTCAACACAAGCTGATACGATATTAACCTATTGCATTAAATACTTCTCTTATTAATATCAATACTTCAAGAAGATTATTCGAGTTCGATTCCCGGAGAAGCAGTAGCAACAAACAGTTTTACTTCACTAACTTGAGATAATCTGTAGTGCGATGAAATTAAGTTGATTAATTATGAATGTTTAATAGTTAATTTTTATTTGAAAATGTATATTTTTGGGCATGTATGTGTAAAACTTTATTTGGAAAAATATAAGTACAGCTGTTGGTTATTCCGTTGCGCCCTATGGACTATGGACATAGGAATAATATAAAGATAGAGCATAAAGTGAAGACTTTCCGGTCAAAAGCTATTTTTTATTTACAATCTCTCTCGTTAATTTTTTTCTGAAGTAGTTATAGTAACAGTGACTAGATTAGATTTTATAGTTGTTTGTCATAAATAAATTAAGACAGCAATAGCTAATAAAATTACATAAAACCCAAGAGGCCTACACGTGCCCAGTATATAAACTTTTTCAATTCTTTTTATAAAATTTATTTATTAACAATATATATAATAAATAAATGAAATTCTATGACATTGTTAGTTACTAATAGTGGATTAATATGCAATATTAATTTGAAATCATTTTTTCGATTTAAATTTTACCCACTACAAACTACCTCAAATNTTGCCTAACCATAATACACTATACTGTATAATTCCTTCTTAATTGTTGTAGACAAATATGCTACAATTTTGTATATATTTTTTTAATTATTGTATAGAGATATGCTAGAATGAAAAGTAATTTTTAAGAGGAATTTGTACTACATATTCTTTAGCGTTGTAGTAGAGAGACAATTTTCACTACAACTTGTTTCTGTCCCTATATTTGCTACTATTTGTAATGAAAAGTCCTACAATTGTAGAAATTTGTTCTAGTTTTCTCTGAGTGCATTCTTCATGAATTTTTCAGACAGGTTTAAAATGAAAATTAATAAGACAGTTCAAGCATTTCAATGGGTGAAAAATGTTTTATTTAATAATCAATTCGTATGATGCTAAAACTTCTTCAAATTAGATTAGGTATATAGCTCAAAAATAAAGTGTTGATGAATACTAGAAGAAATACGAAGGTGTAGGTATTAAAAAAAATACAAATTGTGTTATTATTTCTTTATTGCCCTTGCTATAAAGACAACGACATTGACATCAACGGTCAGGCTAATTTACTCATTTTTTATTTTTTCCTATGTAATAATGTACGTGATGGTAATTGCTCTGAAAATACGACTTTTATCCTTACGATGAGGTCAGTAACATTGTTAGTAATTGTAATTTGTGTACTACAGTTAGACTGCACTTACACGCGTTTTTTCTTCCCCGAGCTACTCGAAAATAACTATGAAATTCAGAAATATTAAATAAAACTTACTGTAAGTGAAAAAATTGGCCTTTAAAAAAATGGAAGCTTTTATAATTCCAAAGGACTTTTCCACACATCGATAAATAACAGTAAGATTATTATTTTATACCCGACATAAAAATGTTCAGTCTCTCGGAGTCTCTCAAAGCGAGACTCAAGTCTCCGTCTCTCATTGAGTCTCTTTGGTGTCGCTGAGAGAGACTGTCGAGAGACTGTCAAAAAAACTGTTTAGCGTCTCTGAACGAGACTCGAGTTGCTCATAGAGAGATCCTCATTTCGTATCCAGTATCTGAACGAGAGACTCGAATCTCTGAACGAGAGACTCGAATCTCTGAACGAGAGACTCGAATCTCTGAACGAGAGACTCGAATCTCTGAACGAGAGACTCGAATCTCTCAATAAGTGATGTCTCCCTCGACATGGTTAAAGTTCAACATATTTCAGAGATCTCAGTCTTTCTACGAGAGACTTAAGTCTCGCAATTTTTCAGATTTATTCATTCAGTGTCTGTGTGAGAGACTCGAATCTCTGAATGAACAATTTTATCGTTCGAGTCTCTCATACAGAGACTATGAAAGATCCACGAAAAACACCTAGGCAATAACTGAGAGACTGTGAAAGACTGTGAGTGACTGGAGAGAGACTGAAAATTTTTATCTAGGGTATTGAACTATATTCTTAGAATAAATTGATTATTATACACCCTGTATTTTCCTACAAATAATAGGAATATTTTAATAGGGTTACCAACCTAATATTTTAAAAAGTTCGGAAATCGTTAGGATTAGTCTGGAGACATCAATTTAATAAATATATGAATCAACAAACAATAAAGCCTAAAAATAATCAAATAGTTCAGTCTATACTCTAGACAGAGAATTAGTATAGTAACTACATTGTGTGTGACATTCAATAAAAACATTACCAATAAAGAAACAATAAAATTTTATTTTTCATAAACATTGAAAAAACGGGAGATTATTTTTTATTAGTCGAGTCCCAAGAAAACTTAGTTTCTCCAGAGTTTCCGAGCTAAAACTGGAGAGTTAATAATCTTAATAATTTTTTTATTGTTGTTAGCCTACAATGAATTGCAGAAGTCAATCTTTTCCTTTTGGATGAATTTATATTTAAATCTACTAGAATGTTCTTGAACGACAAAAGAAATTTCGATTTATAAAATGTAATTTGGCTGCATACATAACAAATGGTCAAAGGCAACGCATTACCCAAAAGTTTTCCCAAAATTAATTACAGATTTTTAACGTATTTTGGAAATGTGGCGTTCAGAACACGTATTTTTTTATGAGCTTTATGTACTTATATTGCTTATTTGTTAACATACTTAAAAGGAATAAGTACATACATACAAAATTAAAATCTGAGTATTAAAACTGATTGAGTAAAGTACTAGGTACCTCAGGTACATATGTACGTGTGTCTGCTACCAACAAATAGACGGTTTACTTGCAGCATTTAGCCTTGTACTTTGAACAATCCTTATTTATAACCATAATTAAAATAACGATCTAAAACAGGCTTGACTTTCTTATTAACATATTCATACCTACTGTTTTAACTAGGTACCAATACAATGAAAAAGATAATTAAATGCTAAAAAATAAATTTAAATATTGATGTAACAATATATGCAGATATTATTGTTTTTCTAAGACATTGTTAATATTTTACAGCCATTTTTTATTGCAATATACGAAAAAAAAAACGTTACAGTTCCGTGAACATGCATTGTTTTCTTTTTATAGGATTTTTATATTTATTAAAACTTAGTCACTTTGAAAACCTGTATAATATGCAAGTAGGTAGTAGCTTTTAAAAATGATGATGATTAAAAATGTCTTTCTTACGCGTTTTATTCCAATCAGCTAAACCCTGCAAATAGATGAATAGATAGGAAATGTAACAGTCAAAGGGAGATATAAGGAAGATGTAATATTATAATCAGTGGGCAAAATTTTCCCGAACGACTCAACACAATCCCAGAAGAAGCTGGACCAGGAGCAATCGAATCTGTAACCTTCTTGGTTGCAAATACAAGTATATATAAGTTCCATTATCATCATCATTATTAGGTCATCAGTCCTAGGACTGGTTGGACACGTACCTCCACTCTTTCCTATCCTGAGCTAAACTTCGCATTTCCCTAAAACTAGAACAACCCACACCCTTAGCTATTTGCGAACAGTAATCTAATCTAGGTCTACCACTACCCCTCCTAACTCCTGTTTCTGCCTCTAATATGTCTCTGACTAGACCTTCNGTAGTTATAGTAACAGTGACTAGATTAGATTTTATAGTTGTTTGTCATAAATAAATTAAGACAGCAATAGCTAATAAAATTACATAAAACCCAAGAGGCCTACACGTGCCCAGTATATAAACTTTTTCAATTCTTTTTATAAAATTTATTTATTAACAATTTCCATAAATTAAAAGAAATTATGAAATCATAGTAAACTTTTCTCAATTTTTTAAATTTCATATGGAAGGTAATTCGGGGGTAGGAATTGTAATGCGTAGGAAAGTAGGGCAGAGTGTAGAAAGTTATTTACAAAAAAGCCATAAGATAGTTATGGTTAAATTAAACTGGAAGCCGGTAAAAACGGTATTAGTGCAGGTCTGCATGCCTACATCATCTTACAGTGAGGAAGACGTAGAAGCGGTTTATAGAAGACGTGATAAGTTTAGTGAAAGGGCAGGAAAAACTAATAGTTGTAGGAGATTTCAACGCAGTAATAGGTGAAGGTAAAGTGAGTGAACTAGCAGGTTCTTTTGGATTAGGCAATAGAAATGATACGGGAGATAGGCTGATAGAATTTTGCGATAAACATAACTTAACCGTCGCGAATACTTTATTCGACCATCACGTTAGAAGGCGCTATACGTGGAAAACGCCAAGTGATTTAGGGAGATATCAGTTAGATTACATATTTGTTAGGCAATGATTTAAAATTCAAGTGAAGGACTATGTAGCAGTTATCCAGGAGCAGATATAGATAGCGATTGTAACTTAGTAGTTATGAAGACCAATTTTAAATTGAAAATTCTGAAAAATAAGGGAGGTAGGAGACATCTTGACTGAGGAAAGCTTAAATGTAACGAAACGCGTGATAGGCTAGGTACAAGGACAGACGAAATATTAAAGGCGGCGGGAGAAACGAATGACGGAACATAGAGGCAGAATGGAATCGAGGCAGGGGTCATTTTGATAGAAAATGAGGAAAAGGCATATAGGTGGGAAGAATATTTAGAGAAACTATACGCAGGCCCTGAGTTACGAGATATAATAGAGAAGGAAGACAGTGTGGAGATGGATGAGCTAGGTTATCCCATAATGAGAGAACAGTTCGATGTAGCATTAAAAACTTAAAGAATAATAAGGCGCCAGGTGTAGATGAGATACAGGGGGAAATTCTAAAACATGCAGAACAAGAGGTTAGAGATCGTATGTTTAAGTTAGTTAGTTACATTTACGAGACGGGGAAAGTCCCAGAGGATTATAAACGGAGCGTGGTAGTAACCATAGCTAAAAAGAGAGGCGCGGATAGGTGCGAGACATTTACAACAATTAGCTTAACTTCCCATGTGTCAAAAATCCTAACTGGAATTGTACAGAGGAGGGTGGAAAAAATGGCGGAATTAATTAATTAGGGGAAGATCAATTTGGGTTTAGAAGAAATAGAGGAATGCGGGAGGTCATTCTAGCTTTACGGGTAACAATAGAGAAAACGATAGAAAAAAGTAACAGTGCGTAGATAGGATTTGTAGATTTAGAGAAAGCTTTTGACAATGTTAAATGGGACAAGATGCTAAATATACTTAAAAATGTAGGGATGAGTTTCAAAGACAGAAAAGTGATATTTAGTTTGTATAAAGAGCAACAGGCAGTTGTAGAGATGGAGCTGCAACGTAGAGTTATAGTTATAGTTAATATTGGGAAGGGAGTCAGACATGGATGCACACTGTCATCGCTACTTTTTAATCTATAAATCGAAGACGCGATCAACGTCATTAAAGGCAGTACAACTGTAGGGGTAGATTCACTTTAAATAACCTCCTTAGATTTGCAGATGATATAGCAGTATTAGCATCTAGCAAGGATAAGTTGGAGATAGCTTTAAATAAAATGGAAACGGTATTGACAGAACAGTACTGTATGAAAATACATAAAAATAAAACAAAAATACTGATATGCAAGGGAAGAAAAAGTAGGGAAAGAGCGAATATAAAGATAGGAGACGAAAAATTAGAAGAAGTGGCTGACTAGGTATCTAGGATATCAGAATTGTCAGAACGGAAGGAGTAGTAGGGGTACAAACAGAGGATGGCGCAGGATCGAGTCGTTTTCAATAAAAAGAAGTCACTTCTATGCTCGCAAACAATTAATTTAGAAATTCGAAAAAGATTGTTAAAGGTGTATGTTTGAAACACGATGCTGTTCGGGTGCGAAACATGGGCAATGGGCGCGGCGGAAAAGAAAAGGTTATAGAAGCGTTCGAAATATAGTGTTACATACGAATGACGAGGATACCGTGGATAGAGAAGGTTAGAAATGAAAAGGTATTAGCAAGAGTAGCAGAAAAGAGGACTCTATGGAAGTCAATAAGAAATAAGCGAGATAAGTTAGTAGGACACCTTCTCAGACATGAAGGTGTAGTCAGAGACATATTAGAGGCAGGAACGGGAGTTAGAAGGAGTAGAGGTAGACCTAAATTAGATTACTGTTCACAAATAGTTAAGTATGTGGGATGTTCTAGTTTTAGGGAAATGCGAAGATTAGTTCAGGATAGGAAGGAGTGGAGGTGCGTGTCCAACCACTCATAGGACCGACGACCTTATAATAATGATTAATGTATTGAGGATAGGCTTCAGCACTCCATATAATCACCCTCAAGTAACTGGACTTTTTGTCGTTTCTTTGGATCATTAAGGAAACTGGTGGAGCAGTAATAATATTCCAACGATAAATAATCTTCCACTTCTCTTGTGTCTTCATTTCGTCCGACCATATCGCCCATCTATTTCGGCAAATCGTAAAAGAAGGCTGAAAGGAGTCAAAGCTTCATTCATCTTACCGGAAAAGTGCAGAATAAGCTTCAACGTTTACGTTTTAATATTCTAATTCTCGTAACAAGTGCAGAATATATAATAATACAAATAGAAATGTAGTGATTCTTCATTCTATTTTGAATTACTAAGAAATTTTTTGAAAAAAAAAAGAAATGTAATACTATCAGGACTTTTCAAATAAATGACTATGTACAAACTTATTGTTTGTTTGTCCATCTGAAAAACATAATAGTAACAGCATGAACGAGATTTAGCTACTACAATAAGTCAGAAAAGAAAAATTAAGAATACCAACTTTTAAATTGGTGAAGTGCCATTTTGACAAGGTAAGACAGTGTCAAAGAATCATTTACGTAAAGTATACTGATAATAAATAATTGATGGGGCGCTGAGGTAAAAATAATAATATAGTAGACAGGCGAAAGGTTGGACATGATGACATTTTGTAATGATTTCCGTTTGCGATTTACCATAAAGAACCCTTAGAAGACAATAAAAGTATTGTTTAGTATGAAATATTCGTAAATAGCGAAAATGTTGAAAATTATATTGCAATTCTGTAACTTAACTATTGAAGCTGTTTTAATACGACTAAATTGTTCTAACCGCTGCAATGCAACTCCGTTAATTGTTGCACGTGGAAAACAATTTCTCTTTTGTTGTTTCTGTCTTATTATTGAAATATTAACATACGCAACACGGTAAATGATAATGCAATTTCCGAGAGTGCGAGTAACTAAAGTCGAGGCGTTGCATAATAATCCCCTTCTCATAAGGAAATCTTTGGGAATGTATAAAAGGAGATTAGTAGTTAATTCCTATGCAGTTTGCACAAGTGTTATAAGTGAAAATGAAGGCGTCTGTTGTTTTTCTTTTTGCTGTTGTCTTGTCATGCATCGCCTATGCGATGTCTGCGACCAAATACACGACCAAATACGACAACATCGACCTGGACGAGATCCTGAAGAGCGATCGCCTCCTGGGAAATTATGTTAAATGCTTGATGGAGGAAGGAAAATGTACTCCTGATGGAGCTGAATTAAAAAGTAAGTACCACACTTAACTAAACTTTGAAATTAGAGGAAAAACTCTACAATTCCAGAATTTATAGTAGTCCTTAAAAGTTGCTTGTGTTTATGAATTCAGTATTTAAAATGATTTTGGAAAACTGCTTGTTACAATTTCCCAAAAATCATGTCGTAGTTTTAATAATGTTGATGGATTCCGCAACATTAAAAATAATGTAAGAAAAAATGCTCAAGAAATAGATTAAAGCTTTTAACAAATGTTTCAATACTTTCGATCATATTCAGGCAATTAACTAAATATTCTGGTTCCACTAGAAGCATAAAACACTTTTCTTGAATTATATATGCATTGATTGTGGTTTTTGCAGTCGCAGTCCAAAAGCACTAGTGTACATCTTAAGAAAATAAGAGGACGCATGTTTTTAACGACTTTAAGCTAAATTCAGCAGTTCAGATGACTTATGTCTAGATATAAGTTATAATGCATGGAAGCATAAATATTAGATATTCACTTTAACTCAAATTTACCAAGACAGAATTTTAAAATTCTGGAGCACCACTGTAATAGGTTTGATTTGATGTTCTACAATGTTTACCGCGTGTCTGTAATAAATTTACGATTTCTGAAATTTTTAAAAAATTCTAGGATCTTCTGATAAATTTTAGGTTTTAGGTGTAAATATATTGTTATCAGAAATATAATATCAATAATAGTATAATATCATAAATTTAATATCAACACTGCATTTTTAAATTTACTATCAATTATTAATATTGTTTGCATAGATTTTTAAAAGTATTAAATAATTTCAGTGACAGAAAATAGTCCCTGGAATATTTGAAATCAGTTAAAATTATAGTAACTAAAAGTTATCTCATTTGCAATTGCATATAAATGGTACACATATGTATCATTACAGCGACAGGTGTAGTGAAAGGGATGTAAATGGGGCACTCCCAAGAAAATTCGATACATAAAAGTGGAATTTGTAGGATATGAAATACCCGATAATAAATAAATCGACTTACTTTTTTAAACAACTAAGGCGTCAACCAACATTCAGCTTTTTCACTTTTGATAAAAAAAATCTGTAATTATCTTCTTTGAAAGACATTTCTCAGGATTCAACTGCATGATTTCTCATTTTCTATTTAATCATAAAAATGGGCTTCAAACGTGACGGCTTTTAATAATATGTTATGGTTTCTGGAAAGGACTACCCCTTTACATTAGGAAATGCCCATGTTTCATTTTCTGTTGCGTTTCTATTTTTTGGATTCATGTACATGTCCTTGATGCAATTTTAGAATTTTCGACCGTAGGAAATTGGACCAAAACAGTAATGGAATAAATAATCGAAATTTTATTGCAGCTTCTTCAACAACTTATGTTTACTCTTGCTCTTATATTAAGTATTTTCTTGAACAATAACCAAGTCATCCTGCCCAAACTTAACCAGAGGAAAAAATTTCGGTTGTTTTCTTCGATCACTGTTTTGGCCCAATTCCCTACGATTTGTATATACCAAAATTCTGATAAGTAAATTCTGGTTCTTTGATGAGTCCTGACGATATATCGTTTTAGAGTCATACAAAAATCTTAGTTTCTTGTGCAACATTATCCCAATAATTTAGAGGTTGATTTGGTTCAGGAATGCATTTTTAACTGTTAGGCTTCCATAAACAAGACAACAGAGAAATCCGAATCAACATCAACATTACCTAAGTATCTAAAGCAACTTCTACCAGAATATGCATCGCACCTTGTACTTCAACCACAAATTTTTCTAGAGAATGGAACTTGTTGGAGGCAGAGATAATGAATACCTAAACTACATTAAAGATAAATTCATCTACAAAAAAGTTACATAAAAAGAGTAGGTCTTGTTCTTTCATTATTCGACTACGGCAAAGTCAAAAAGAAGGATTACGATTTTAACAAATCTGTTACATTCGAAACAGCGCGTGAGCTCTGATTATTGCTTTTGCTATCGTATCGAAAGGGATGTTAAATGAAAGAGGGGAAAGTTTTGAGTTCATAAATATAGTAGAACATTAAAGTATACCAAGCGACAGGAAAACAATTTTACGGTGTTTCAGCATTCTTAAAATTTCCGTACACTTAACATTTATTTCATTTGTCTTGAAGCCCCTAGTCTAGATTGTTTACCTACTAAGTATCCGTTAGGTTTTCAAGCTATTAACCCACCTATGGATAAATAAAAAGTAGGAAAGAAGTTAAATTAATTATCACCTTATTGAGTAAGACAAGTCTTTTGACATGTTAGATACTATTCCTGTTTCTATTGAAGTCATCTGACAGTTTCACATTCATACAGTTATATGTAATTCAATTCAAAGGCGTGGTCGTGCATTGTCAACTACAAACAACACCAGTGGAGTTACCGCCAAACAATGATAAAAAATGTGCAGGAGGCACATTTGTGTTAAATTATAATGTTATTAATATGAAACCTCCGGAAGACTTAATCAAAATAGATAAACAGGAATATGTAACATTTCAAAAGACTTGTCTTCCTAAACAAAAAAATCAGCACCTAATTTGTTTCTTTATCTTTAGTTTAATTTATTTTTCCTTGGACTGGTTGTTTTTTTAAACTTTTTTGTATAAGGCCTACTCTATATAACGAAACGGTTATTTACACCGAAACAAAACGTCATGTTTGAAATAAATCAGTAGATCGCGAAATGGTCAGAGTAATATGACTAGATGCCAAATGCAATGATTATTTCGTCATCGGTTCATGTAAAATTGATTAGATAGTCATCAGTTTATCGGCTTAAGTCCTTGTCAGATACCGAAATCGGCCACTACCTGGCATCATCATGGAAATGATGGAACAAACAATTTTCATACATGAAACACTTTGAAACTCAATATAGTAGTTAATAATTTTTATCCACTATAAATTACCTCAAGTTAATGAGGAAAATTTCTTACTGTTTTTACACCCTAGATGGAAATTGAACCTGGAACTTTTGACTTTACGCTATATTTGCTGCTGTCACCTTTCGTATCTTACTGGTCAGAACATAAGGCGTAAAGCCAAAGCTCCCGAGTTCGATTCCCGTCGAGGAATTGACAACAGTAACAATTTTTTCTCATTAACGTGAGGTAATTTACCATCATCATCATGGTCGTCAGTCCTAAGACTGGTTGAACTCGCACGTCCACTCTTTCATATCCTGAGCTAATCTTCGCATTTTCCTAAAACTAGGACATCCCCCAACTATTGTGAACAGTAATCAAATCTTCCTCTTAACTCCAGTCTCTGACTAGACTTTCATGCCTGAGAAGGTATCTTATCAACCTATCTTGCCTATTTCTCATTAACTTCCGCATAGTCCTCTGTTTGTTTCTAGTATCTCTTCATTTCTAACATTCTCTATCCACGGTATCTTCATCATTCGCCCGTAAAGCCTCATTTCAAACGCTTCTAAGCTTTTCTTTTTCGCAGCGCCCACCGTCCGTGTTTCGCATCCGTACAATGCCGCGCTCCAAGCATACACCTTTAACAATTTTTTTCGAATTACTAAATTTATCCTTCGCGAGCATAGAAGTGACTTCTTTTTATTGAAAGCGGCTAGAACCTGCACAATCCTTTGCTTTAAACCCCTACTACTCCGTCCATCCTGACATATCTCACCTCCTAGATACCTAATCAGCTACTTCTTCTAATTTTTCGTCTCCTATCTTTATATTCGCTCTTTCCCTACTTTTTCATCCCTTGCACACCAGTACTTTTGTTTTACTTTTATTTATTTTCATACAATACTGTTTTGTCAACACCTCTTCCATTTTATTTAAAGCTATCTCTTAGTCATCTTTGCAAGATACTAATACTGCTATATCATCTGCAAATCTAAGGGAGTTATTTATTGTGGATAAAAATTAAGACTTAAACTTTTACCTTAATATTTAATTTTCTCTCAGTTTTTCTTCTAACATTTGCCCTATCGAAGACAAAAATACATATATAAAGGATGAACAACCAGGTAGTGCTTTAGAGTGTTCAGATCAAAATTTACAGTTGTTCACCCCCAGTTCTAATTCTACCTTCAAAAAGAGCAGTTTCACTTATTAACTTCTACTAATCTTCTTTTCCAGGTTAGATGGGATTAAAATTAAATTAAATAAAACCTTGAACAGCTCTTGTTTCTAATTTTGTGTTATTTGATTATCAAAGACGTCATATTTTTGTCAAAATCTGTTTATTGCAAAATTTTAAGAAATTGAAAAAATTACAAAATGACACCATCTTGTTTACAATAAACACAAACAAAATATTAAATTTATTAGGTATACGTAAATGAATGGATGTGTTGATTTTACATTAGAAAATATTAACATATTTTATATTTTAATATGAATTTTGCATTTAACAGTAGCATTCCAAACGAGTTCCTAATTTACAATTTAATTGTACGATTGTATTATGTCAGAGATGATTACTTAATAGTAAACCTAAACAATAGTGATTCCAGTAATCTGAATTCTATTTCGTACGAAATTCTAGAAGTAACCTTAACTAATTAAAACATGTACCACATTATAATTATTGCAACCACTTTTAATTTTTAACTGCAACGAGTGAATCAGAGTTCACAAGGCTTACAAAAGACTTAAATAAAACTTATATGTATAGTTGGAACGATCAAAATTGGCAGTCTGCAATAAATTATCTGTGAATATGAACGTATATTCTTTCTTGTTTCCATTTGGGACTGTAGCCATTTGCTGTGTTTTTAGCACGCCCTTGTTAAGTTATGAAATGCTTCATGGCTAGTACAGACAAAGTAGAAAGAGATAACCGAATAATAGAAAGCGATGCAGGGGTTAGAGGTTGCGTATGACGCAAAAGGTCAGGGTTGGGTTTATAACTGCCTGGTTGGAATTATATTTTTTGTTGTGTATTAACGCGTGCATGGAATATTCCGCCGTTTCTAGAAGGTTCCAGTACATTCCTCTGGAACTTTCCTTTCCTCCACTCCGAACT